CATTTCATTTAGATCTTCCTTAATTTCTTTCAACAATGTTTTGTAGTTCTCACAGTATAAGTTTTATACTTCTCTTGTTAAATTTATCCCTAGGTTTTTTATTCTTTTTGCTGCTAAGTGGAATTATTTTCTTAATTTCATTTTTGGATTTTTCACTGTTCATGCATAGAAACATTTCATTGTTCATGCATAGAAACAGAATTGATTTTGGTAAATTGATATTATATCCTGCAACCTTATTTAACCTTTATTAAGTTCTAATAGTTTTTTAGTTGATTTCTTAGAATTTCCTACATACAAGATAATATCATATTCAAATAGTTTTCCTTCTTCCTTTTTTTTTTTTTTTGTACTGAAATCATTTTAATAAACCAAGCTTGGAACATCTGTGAAGTCTTTCAGAAATGAAATCTACTTAATTCAGCCTATTGGAAACTTTCTTGACAAGGAGAACTTTTATTTTGTAACATAACATTGCAACAATATCACATAATATTACATATGAGTTCTAATGAAGAAATACTATCAAGAGTTTTCTGACAAGGCATTAATTTCCTTTTCTTTTCCTTTTTTTTATTGCAATGTAATCCTTCTTCCTTTCTAATTTGGATACTTTCTATTTCATTTTCTTGCCTAATAGTCGTGGCTAGGACCTCCAGTACAATTTTTCATCCTTTGTTGTATTAGTATGCTATATTACATTGATTTTTAGATGGTAAACCAACCTTGCATTTTTGGGATAAGTCTCACTTGGTCATGGTATATAATCTTTTTTATATTTTGCTAGATTGTTCCCTAATTTTGTTAAGTATTTATGTGTCTATATTCATAAAAGATAATGGTTTGTAGTTTTCTTGTAATCTTTTGTCTGGTTTTGGTATCTGGGTAACACCAGCCTCATAGAATGAATTTGGAAGTGTTCCTTCCTCTTTTTTTTTTTTCTGGAAAAGTTTGTAAAGAATTGTTATTCATTATTTTTTAAATGTTTGGTAGCATTCTGCAGTGAAGCCATCTCAGCCTGGGATTATATTTCCTACTGAGATTTTTTATTTCTTCTTGAACAAGTTCAGTAGTTTGTAGTCTCTCTAGGAATTGGCTCATTTTGCCTAAGTTATCTAATTTGTTAGTACAAAGTTGTTATATGTAATATATATATTATAATCATTTTTATTCCTGTAAAGTCAGCAGTCATGTTCCCTCTTTTATTCTGACCTTAATAATTTGAACGTTCTCTTTTTTTTTCTTGATCAGTGTAGCTAAAGCCTTATCAATATTACTGATCTTTTCAAAAGAACTGACTTTTGGCTCCACTGATTTTCTCTATTGTTTTCCTATTCTCTATGTAATTTATCCATTCTAATCATTATTCTTCCTGTTTGCTATGCTTAATTTTCTCTTTTTTCCTAGTCTTGAAGTGGAAGGTTAGGTTATTGATTTGAGACATTTCTTTTTTAATATATATGTTTACAGTTATTTCTCTTAGCACTACTTTTGCTACATCCCATAAGTTTTGGTATACTGTGTTTTCATTTTCATTCATCTTGAAGCTTTAGTACGTTGTTCCTTCATTTTCATTTATTTCAAATTATTTTTTAACTTCTCTTATGTATTCTTCTTTGAGCCACTGGTTATTTAAGCAGTGTGCTGTTTCTACATATTTCTAAATCCCCAAATGTCTTTCTATGTATTGTTAATTTTATTCCATTGTGGTCAGAGAACAAACTTTGTACGATTTCACTTCTTTTTATATTTATTGAGGCTGTTTAATGGGCTACAATATGTTCTGTCCTGGAGAAGGTTCCATGTGCACTTGAGAAGACTATATACTCTACTGTTCTTAGGTGGAGTATTGTACAGATATCTGTTAGGTCTAGTTGGTTTATAGTTTTGTTTATAGTGTTGTTCATGACTTCTATTTCCTTGCTGATCTTCTTCCTGGTTGTTCATCCATCACTGAAAATGGGGTATTGAAGCCTCCAACTATTACTGTTGAATTCTTTATTTCTCCCTGCAATTCTATCAGTTTTTGTTTCATGTATTTTAGGACTCTGTGTTGTTAGGTGCATTTATGTTTATAATTGTAATGTCTTCCTGTTGGATTGACCCTTTTATCATATAAAATGTCCTTTGTCTCTAGTAACAATTTTTGTATTAAAGTCTATGTTCTCTGATTTGTATATAGCCACTCCAGGTTTCTTGTTTGTTGTTTGCATGACATATCTTTATCCTTTTCCTTCTTTCCCCCATTTGTATCTTTAAATCTATGTCTTATGTAGACAGCATATAATTATATCCTGTTTTTTTAAATCCAGTATGAAAATCTCTCCCGTTTGATGGAATGTTTAATCCATCAACATTTAATGTTATCATTGATATAGCTGGATTTAAGTCTGCTATTTTACTTTTTGTTTTCTATATGCCTTGGAGTTGTTCCCGTTTCCCCTTTACTGATTTCTTTTACATTAAGTGAATATTTTCTAAGTGTAACATTTTAATTCTTCTAATGATTTTTTCACTATATATTTTTAGTTAATTTCCTAGTGGTTGCTCTAGGGCTTAGAATATACATTTTAACTTCTTAGAATCTACTTCAGATTTATGCTTAATTCCAGTGAGATATGGAAATGTTACTCCCCCTTATATAAATGTTATATAACTCTACTCCCCCTTCCCTCTTTTTGTGATATTATTGTTATATGTATTACATGTGTATATATTACAAACCCAACAATACACTGTTCTTATTATTACTTTACATAATGTATGTTTTTTAAAGAAGCTGAGAGAAGAAAGGAGAGTAAGGATATATTCATAGAGTTTGTTATATTAACCTTCATTACTATTTCTAGTTCTCTTCATTTATTCCTGTGGGATAACAGGAGTTCTAGAAAGAGGAAAAAATGGATGGGAAGTACTTGAGGAAAGCTTTTTCATAATTAAGGAAATATGAAAGATAAAAAATTGAGATTGAGAGCATTACCAAAAAGGCAAGAAATGGAAAAATGCACAGCCTTCAAATCTTTGGAAATTTAGGTAATGTAATTGAAACAACCTAAGCATTCAAAATACTGGATTAAGGATAAATTATAAACATGCATACTTACTGGCACAGAAATATACTATTATGTGAAAAAGTGTGCTACAAAGCTGTATAGTATGATACCATTTATCATACTACATCATTTGGTGCAGGGAGCAAGACAGAGAAGGAGAGAAAGGAGGGGAAGGAGGAGGGAGGGAGGAGGCAGAAAAGGGTGAAAGGGAGGAGAAAGAGGTATGGGAGGACATATGCCAAAATGTTAACTACGGGTCATGGAATTATGAATGAATTTTATATTAAGGTTTTTGAATGTATGTATTTTATAATTTTTAAAACCTTAATGTGTAGTTGTGATAAAACAATAAACTTAAATTAATCCAGCAGAAATGAGCAAAAGATATGAAAAGGCACGTCACCTAAGATAAAATAAAAATGTCTGAAAGTGTATGAAAAAAACTTAGCCTCATTAGTAATCAAAGAAATGCAAAATAATACTGAATTTTTAATTTATCAAATAGGAAAATATTTTTAAGAGGAAAATACCTAGTGTTAGTAAGTGTTACAGGAAATATGCTCAATACTTTGTTGATAAAGGTATAAAATGATATAATTTTTCTGAAGAGCAATTTAATAATTTTTATAAATGCCCTTAAAAATGTCTACATCCTTTAACCTAGCAATTCATTTTTTGGGATTTATTTTAAGGAAAAAAATAGTAGATGTTACAACTATTCAGCTATAACTACAAGAGGATATTTATAGGAGAGCATTCCATGAAAATTTTGAAGTGTATGGTAATTAGGATTTAATCCTATGGAATTAATCTAAATGTCCAAAAAGTATGTAAAGGTATATATGAAAAAGACTGTACAATATATATCAACTTTTAATAGTGCCTTTATCTGAGTGTTAGAATTATTAGTATTAAAATTTATTTTCTTCTTCTTATCCACGTTTTCTAAATTATCTATAAAGGACAATAAGCTACTCTCTTTGAAGTGGAAAACAAAGTTATTTAAATATAATCTAATACGCAGGCCAAGAAGTAGCTTAGTTTTATTTCTACTTCAGTGATTTCCAAACCATATATCCAACATTTAGATAACTTCTTGAACCAACATCCAGACAGCTAAGTCAGTGATACCAGTTATACCAAGCAGCATCAAGGACTACAGCCTCTTCCTCTCTTGATACTGAGCAGAAACTATGTGCAGGGCACTGTGCTACACAAGCTAGGAATAAAGAGAAGAGAGGGACCTAGATTTTTGGCTTAAACAAGAGACAGACTAGTGGCAAGAAACAGACGTGTAAATTCACAACTACAAATCAAGGTATGTTTGAGAGTGCCAAGGAAAGGGCAAGATGATTCTAACTGGGGTTGAATGAGGATGTGTTCTCATATACTAGTCATCCACAATTTGCTCTTCTTTCCCTCTCCAATTTACTATTGAACCATGAAGATCATAAAACCACTACAACTCAGACTATCTACAGTCATGTGCTGCGTAACGACATTTCAGTCAATGACAAACTGCATATACAATGATGGTCTCGTAAGATTAGTACCACATAGCCTTGGTGTGTAGTAGGCTATACCATCTAGGTTTGCATAAGTACACTCTGTGATGTTCACACAGCAAATCACCTAATGATGCATTACTCAGAATGTATCCCCATCGTTAAGCAACGCATGGCTGTTTTCCCATATTCCATATAAGTGCTTACTAGCCCTCCTTATCCCTCAGGGCCAGCTCACATGTCACTTCACCTTTGTTTCTGGGGGTAAAAGCACTTCTCTTGATATGCTGTGACTATAGATTCAGTCTCAGAGGGCTGAGATGAAGTCTAATCCATCTTGGTACCCCTAGGTCAAGTTGGCATTCACTAGGTATGCATCATGACTTTTTCAAGCTTTGTTCATGTGTTTAACAGCTTGGCAAAGGAAACTTAGAAGTCATACCTGGTGGGGTTCCTTTTGTCTTCCTCAGAGATCAAAAACCAAACAAAATCTGCATAGCTCATTCTTCCCTCTTTCTGTACTGTTTTTCCCCTGAAGAAAACACATGGTTATAAAGTTTCCTGAGCAATTACTCAGATAAATTTAGTAGGATGACAGACTAAGAAAGTAACATTTTTCTTTGGAAATGAAGTTAAAATTAAAAAAAATTAGAACACTGGAAACCTCACAAAGGGCAACCCCTTCCATGGCCTATCTTGTTTTCAATGGCCTAGAGGGTGAAACAGAAGGCATTTGCAGATATGAAGAGAGAAATCTGGTTTCTAATTTGAATGCAAATAATCACAAGGATCAAATACTGTTACCTGTATTTAGATAAAGGATTAATGCCCATATATTAAAGAATTACTGCTATCTTGTATGAAGTCATGACTGCATGTTTTGTAGGGTGTCTGACCTATAGCACTGCCGAATTATGCAGGAAGCCTTACTAAAATGAGACTGCTACAGTATTACTTGTAGTTCGTTGTTAAACTGAGATGTTTTTTCTTACCTTGTTACTGCCCCAGAGAATATCCTTTCAATAATCCTGTTTGATGAAGCTAAATGTAAATAAGAAATTACAAAGCTAGTTAGAAACATGTTCCATAAAAGAAATACTTTTGCCAAATTTATTTTCAGTAGCTTTAAGCTAAAACATAATGATCTTCCATGATGAGAATATGAGTAAACTTTTACTTATGTGTAATTTATACTTTTTGAAAGTAAGAATTTGAGGTGGCTTACTCTATCAGTCAGTCAATCATTTAAAAAAAGAACAGGCAAATGGATGTGCCTGACAGCTGGGATGTATTAATATAGTTGAGCACTAAACATCCTAACAACCAAGACAAAAATGTATAGAATTTTGGTTGATCTTGTTATGCAATGAGACAAGATAATTTTTCCTCTAAAATAAGACAAATTTTATCCTAGCATTAAATTCAAGGAGGAACTGATCATCAGCTCCTAATATAAGGGACTTTGAGTAAAGCAATGGAAATGGTTTCAAATAGAATTTTATAAAAGATACCAGAACATACCATAAATATACTTTTCTTATATTTTCATTCTATAAAAGTCCAGGATATAACATGATATAACATATAATTTTAAAAAATTCCATCAGTAAGTTTTATTCAAAGAGAGACAGAATTATATCTTAAAACAGTATGTTGCTTTTGATGATAGATCCTAGAGAACTGATAACCCTGTAACTCATTATGGATTCAAAATAACCAAAGGCATTATTTTAAAAAAAAAAGGAGATGCCAACAGATGTTCGACTTAGGGATGTGGTGAGGACAGGAATCTGTTTTTTTAATAAGTTCCCCAGGCAATGGCATGCACACTAAAATTTCAGAACCAGTGATGAGGTCATTAGAGAGTTAGCAGATATCAGCATCTAAGTCTTCTGCACAGAGTTAGGCACAGTCAACATAAAGGTAAACTAGTTTGGCTGAAGAATGCTGGAAATATGTGTCAGTACAGCCATGCCTGGCCACATACCAAAGCTTATATAAGGACACTCTAGACTTCGTTGAGCGTTGGTTTATGGGGTTAATAATTTGTACTAGATGGAAAAAAAGAGGGCTGTATAGGAAAAGCAAGGATATTTAATTCTAAAGCTAAAGTCTTTCTGAAAGTCTTTTTAAGATTTCAAAGGTTTAGCTTCCTAAAACTGAGGATCATGTTGTCCCATTAAGGACAGGTTGGTGGGTGAGCAATTATGTAAAGTTTCAGTGGCCCCTTCATTATACAGGCCTAGATGCCTGCTTTTCTGGACTTTATCCCTTTAACATGCCTGTAATGAGTTGCTATGTGTATATATACAATAGTTTGAGTCTTAACAAGAATAATGGTTATGTCAGCCAGAGAGGGTGCTTTAGAGCCCATAGCATGACCTCTGGAGTCTGGCTTATGTTATAGAGATGATCTGGCCACTGGTAATTAGAAAGTGCATAGCTAATAAAGCTGACCCAATACTCCTATGAATATCTCCATTTTTATGCTAGTCTGGTGACAGGAAGGTTATGTCTACTTAAAGAAGGAATGATATAGTACTAAGATGCTTGTTTATCAAATAAGTACATTTGAGTATCTCCTCTTGGTGCCTGGTTGGCACTTGAGAAATTGAGAGGTAGAACTCTGTTTCTTAAATAGGGAAAGTTCTATGAAACTTGACATCATATAGAATGAACCTTTTCTTAAGATGTGTAATATTAGTCACAGATAAACCAAATAACAGAAGTGAAATTCAATGCATTTATTTAAGATTTGTACTCTGCTACCTCTAAAAGGCTAAAGGCTGGTTAAAAAAAAGTCAACAGTTTCTGAGAAGACATTTAAGAACAGAACAGGGACAATCTTTTGAGAGAACGAATCGATGTATCTTGGTGCTTGGTTAAGAATATTAAATCAGCAGGTAATAGGTTCTAAGTTTACTACTGGTAAAAGTGAAGCAAAAGGGTAATATCACGTGATATGTCATTATTTGTTTTCCAACAAAAGAAAGCACACAAAATTCATCTGCAGAGAAAATATCTTTTCTGGAACTAAACTCCAAAAAGTAAGTTTTTATAAGAGTCTTTGAAAACATTGGCAAGTTATAAACATTATTTTCATCCTTGGCTGTTTATAAGTACTGTGAAATGGGAAATTTATAAAAGGTGTATAAACATTCTCTTTCAAATAAACTTTACATAGATGTGGATCTTATTCAATTCATCATCAGAAAATAAACATCATGGGCTGGGCTGGTGGCGTAGTGGTTATGTTCACGCGTTCTGCTTCCAAGGCCCGGGGTTCACAGGTTTGGATCCCGGGCGTGGACAGATGCACCACTCATCAAGCCATCGTGTGGCGGCATCCCACATACAAAACAGAGGAAGATGGGCACAGATGTTAGCTCATGGCTAATCTTCCTCAGCAAAAAGAGGAAGATTGGCAATGGATGTTAGCTCAGAGCCAGTCTTCCTCACCAAAAAAAAAAAAAAGAAAGAAAGAAAGAAAAGAAACATCACTATAAAGACTTGCCAATTCATCAAAACTAAGATTCTAATTGCTCACTTACCTCCAAACCCTTATCTTACACCTGGCCTCTAAATAAAAAATTAGTATCTTCACCCATTCCCACTTAAAAATTCTTGGCTCTTTAAAGTGGACTTGATTAGATACAGAATTTAAGAAATAGGAATTCCCCATAATGAGTGTGGACAATGTATATAACTCTTGCCTTCTTCAAAAATAGTTAAGTCTTAACATCTATAGAAACACTCACCCTGGTCATTGTATCGAGAGAGATCGGCCTGGCTGATGTAGAGGTCATGATCACTATCTAGTTCCCAGAATTTACAATAAATAACATAGAAATGTTCATAGGAGAAGTAATCTGTGATTTGGTTTATATCTTCCTCTTCTTCCAAAAGAGCTAGAGTCTGAAATGGTATGAATAGAATGATTAATTTATTTTAAAATTATGAAAACCCAGCTTTGGCCATTATACAGAGTTTAATAAATTTTTATTTTAAATTCAATTAAAAATTTTGGTTTTGGTAGTAAACCAAGAACTTTATAAGGCAACCTCATCCTACCTTTAATCAGCTGATCAATCTACAACCATTTACGAGCTCTTAATATGCTTAGCAAAGAGTCAGATGCTGTGGAGGATTTAAAAGCAGGGAAAGAGAAGGACCATCACCAGGGGACTATAGCCTATCAGGGGTCCCCAGACTAGCAAGCACAGAACAATCAGACAACAGGCTTAATTACATGGCCATAAACTGACATTGCTTTTAACTTTTCAAAGTTATGAAGAGTAGGCACCCATTATAGTAAGAAGAGTAGGCATCCACATATAGGCTTTGGTTTTGTAATGAAATCAAGTTTACTATAAAGGTGACTTATGTCACCATTGTGATCACGTGCGGTGGGCTGGCATAGAAGGCACGAGGGGTGAAGCTGCAGGGCCCTGAGCTGGAAGTAAACCCGGGTCTCCCCTGACTCACTGTGTGCCCCTAGGGAAAACACCGGAAACAATGATTTTGAACCCAGAATTCTTATAATCACCCAAATTATCATAGAAGTAGGCAGAAAAATGAAGACATTTTCAGTAATAAAAGATTCAGAAAGAAAGATAAAAGAAATCATAAGGACACTTGGGAAACAGAAAAAGCAAAACGAGATGGCAGAAATAAGATCAGAATTAATAATAATCACAATAAAGGTAAAATGAGTTAAATCTCCCTATTGAAAGATTTTCAAACTGAGTATAAAAATCAAACCCAAAGAACAGATCTAGGTATACATTGTCCTAAGAGATAAGTCTAAAATAAAATTTAAAAGAAAGGTTAAAAAAAAAAAATTGGACAAATGTACTAACTAAATCTTAAAAAGAAAACATGTCAATATTATTAGAAAATAAAATGGAATTCAAGGTGAAAAACATTAAAAGGGACAAAGGTGGCTATTTCATAATGCAAATGTATTGCTTTGATAAAAAACTATTTTCTAAAATGTAACTACTGGGAAACCAAAAGGCTTTGGCATATTGAAAACAATGTAAATTATTAAATTATGGTAAATCCACTCTGTGGAAGATTCTACGGCCAGTAAAAATTATAAAGTCTACATAGAAACAAAGGAAAACCGTGATGTGCTAAGTGCAAAATATGGATACAAAATTGTACACACTAAGAACTATGTAAAATTCTAGAATCCAAATATGCCTATGAATGAGACTAGATAAACACATACAAAAATGCTATTATAGTTTTATTAGGGTGATAAAATATGATTTTTCTTCTGTTTTCCAAACTTGCTTGCATTGTTTTGTTTTATAAAATGCTCTTTAACGTGTATAACACAGAATACATACAATAAAACAAATCTTGAGAGGCAAGGGGCTCACATTTTTCACCTACTGGATTGTCATAGAATGAAAAAGAGAACTTCTGTTGATGAGTACGTAAGTGTAAGTATGAACTACTACAGGTTTTAGGAGGGTAACTTGGCAGGATCTATCAAATTCAAAACACACATATCATCGGATGCAGGATTTTCCCTCCAGTAGTCTTTTCTAGAGAAATTCTTATATACAAACAAGAGGAAAGTACAAAGATGTTTGCTGCATCACTGTAATAGGGAAAATATGAAAACAACTTGAACATCATCAATAGATGAATATGTAATTAATCACAGTATAGTCAAGCCATAGTAGTTAAAAGTAGTTAAAAGAATGAGATGGATTTATATGACTGGAAAGGAAAAGAACATCAAGACATACTGTTAAGTGAAAAAAGACAGTTAACAATAATAAGTATGATCTCACATATTAAAAAAAACCCAAAACCTCAAAAAAGCAGCCATACGAAATAAGACTATATACTCCATGTATAAATATATAAGAGAATAAAACCACAGATAACGGGTTCCCTCTGGGAAGGGGAGTTAAATGGCAGGGTGAAGAGATAAATAGTGACTTCTGCTTATTGTCCTAGGTATCTTCATGTTATTTGAATGTTTTATGATCATATATTCATATACTAAGAGGAAGACTAAGGAGAGGGGTAGGAAAGAAAACAGGGGAAAATAAATCATGCCCTAGGAAGCAGAAGACTGGGTTCTATTTCCAGTTCAGCCACTTACTTGCTGTGTGATCTTATCACAAATTTTATCATCAGTAAAAACAAAACACGGATTATAATAATGATCCAGAAACTACAAACTCTAATGTGCTTCAGGAATGCGAGGGATTATTATCATTCTTAAAGTGTAAGCCTTCTTTTATGGAATTATTGCCATCTCAACCCATCCCATATTACCTACTGAGAGCCCAAGCAGGCATCAGGTATTCAATAAACATTAATAATGACTGTGATGATTACTGTTCATTTTAGAATAAAAAAAGTTTGTATATCTATTACTGGCTACTAATCTTGCCAAGTCTTCATTACTCTGTCTCAGACGAAGATAAGAAAAAATAGAGTAAATAAGGTTGTACTGTTAGTCTAAGCTTCATTTAGTATGATTCATAGTTCATTTCCTTTCAAGTGTGAACAATTCTACTTTCTTTAGGTTAATAGAAGCTTGAAGAATCAGGCATGAAGATTACCTCAGTGAAAGGCTCCCACTAGTGGTCAATACTTTTGCTCTCATTTGGTAAAATACATAAACTAACTGAAAGTATTCTTTCTTAAAAGGAATTTTTAGTACTTTTCTCCAGCAGGAGTTGGATAAAGAATCATTGCTGAAAGGATCAAGTCGAAATTCCTCTATTTCTTGTGCAAGGCCTTTCCCAACCCAGCCCCATCTCACCCCCCCGGCCTCATCACTGGTCACTCTCTCCATGGAGCCTTTGGCCACTTAAGACTGTTCTGCAGTTCCTGAACATGACACTTTCATGCTTCTGGGCCTTTGCTTATGCTGCTTCCTCCTCTATCTGGAATCCCCTTTTCTTCTAATTTTTTATCTTGGTAAACTCTTGATATCCTCCAAGGTCTTGATCACATGCCAGTCCTTCTGTGAAGCCTTCTCTGCATATTAATTGTACATTTCTGTGGAATTTTTCAAGTCAGGTGTGGCTGTGTGTGCACTTTTCTCTTTTGCTCCACAGTGCATGCCTTGATGCAAAAATCCCTTCTTATTCATCTCTATTCCCCTCAACACATCCCGGGTATTTGATAAATGCTTAATGACTCAAAGTAGTGACAGTGCTTTGCATACAATGAGCACTCAAATATATGTTAAATGAAGTAAGAATATTATTTAAATTGCTCCTTATATATGAATTCCAATGAGAGGCATACTTGCAAAAAGTTGCTTTTTCTTATCTCTGTCGAAGTAATTTTTCCACTCCAAGATCTGTTGACTGTGTAGAATATTCTCTGAATAACCTGGTTCCAAAAGGAAAACAAAACCAAATAAAAACATTAAAGATATTTATTACTTCATCAAAGGCCATCTTATGAATATACTCTGAACCAAGCTAAGTTTTGGCTTTTCGATTATGTCAAGTGTCATTTCTAGTAAAAATTAATGCTATATTTTAAAAATCTATTGCAATAGTTTGCATCTGCCCCTATAATTCCAGGAAGAATTAAAAAAAACAACCTTTGCTCATAAGTCTGCATTTCCCAGCTGCCAACATGTCACTTCCTTTGTTTACCTCTCCTGTTACACTGTGCTGCCTGATTGAAGTAGCGTTTATTGGGCTGGATATTTTGGGAAGGCAAATGAAGTGGGAAATATGCTCTGGGTTGGCTTAACAATTAATGGGTCAGAAAAATGGCTGCCAACATGACGTGATTCAAGACGGCATTATCCTGGTTATCACAGCCTTGTTCATTGGGTCTTGAAGACTTCTGGTCTTCCTGATTCTCTCTGGAAACTCAAATACATCTGGGATAATTTATATCCCGAGTCCTTATTTGGGCATGAACAATTTTGTTATTAGCTAGTGTTTTAATGAGTTTAACAGATGTGAAACTCTGGAGAAGACTCTGGACAGGATGGGAGAGGAGGGGACGGGTAGCAAATGTGTCTGAGATTGAGGATGTGTGTGCTACGGTGTAGGGGAGGATTGGAGAAGGAAGACAGAGGCTGCAATCCTGGAGGTAGGAGGCCACAGTGCATTCTTAACAATTTTACCAGGGGTTATTCCCACCCATTTAATTTCCCTTTGACGTACTAGGTTTTTTTCTCCTCCAAACGGAAGCAGTGGTGAGAAGAGCAATTTAAGCAGCTTTTTTGGTACTTTGGCTTTGATTTTGATTATGTAATAATACAGAAATCCTACATCCTTAGTGGTTTTATCATGGAAGAGGTTAGATCCTTTTTAAAAGCTATTTTAGTGCAAGAAGAACAAAAAAGGGAAGATATTTGGACATCTACCCAAAGAGTAGGCCTAAAGAGGGACTAAACCACCATTCTGCTTCTGGATTCTTTAGCAACGAGAGTGACTCTCAAATAGAACAGGGGAAAAACTAGCCTCAGGTTGAAGGTCCAGACTTCTGCTGCCCAGCATTCCTCACCCCACCCCTGCTATCAGTGCTAACTCCTTCTAACCCTTCATAATCTAGCCCAATTGCCAACTCCATAGAAAGCCCCAGAACAGGGAGCTCTGTCTTCTGTACTCCTGCTGTCACCTGAGTCTCCTTCAGTCATCCTGTGGTTATATTCTAAACACCGATGCACCTGACCGTCACCACCTCCAAACTCTAAGGACCCAGGTCTTTCTTGACTTGCATCCTAGTGCCATCCTAGTGTAAGAAGATTTACTTTCTTAGCAACTTTCAAATAGGCAATACAGCATTATTAACTATAGTCACCATGCTGTACATTACATCCCCAGGACTTATTTACTTTTATAAGTGGAAGTTTGTACCTTTTGACTACCTTCACCCATTTTTCCCAGCCCCAACCCTCCACTTTTGGCAACCACCCATCTGTCCTCTGTATCTAGGAGCTTGTTTCTTTTTTTGTTTTTTTTAGATTCCACATATAAAAGAGATCATACAGTATTTGTCTTTCTTCGTCTGACTTATTTCACTTAGCATAATGCCCTCAAGGTTCATCCATGTTGCAAATGGGATGATTTCATTCTTTTCTATGCCTGAATAATATTCCATTGTGTGTATGTATATATGTGTGTGTGTGTGTGTGTGTGTGTGTGTGTGTATCTATCTATCACATTTTCTTTATCCATTCATCCATTGATGGACATTTAGGTTGTTTCCCTTTCTTGGCTATTGTAAATAACGCTGCAATGAACATAGGGGTGCGTATCATACGGTTGTTCTATTTTTAATTTTTTGAGGAAGCTCCATACTGTCTTCCATAGTGGCTGCACCAATTTACATTCCCACCAACAGTGCACAGGGTTCCCTTTACTCCACATCCTCACCAACACTTGTTTTTTCTTGTCTTTTTGATAATAGCCATTCTAACAGGTGTGAGGTGATATTTCATTGTGGTTTTGATTTGCATTTCCCTGACGATTAGTGATCATGAGTATCTTTTCATGTATCTGTTGGCCATCTGTATGTCTTCTTTGGAAAATTGCTTGATAAATTAACAAGGTTTGAAAGCTGTTTAATAAAGATGTTCATGTTATATGTGTGATAGAGACATATGGGTTGGATTCATAGCTAGTTGGATAACTCTATTCAGAGTTTTGAATAGCAGATGGATACCAACCCAAGAAAGGTTTCTAATTAGTATTTCACATACATCAGTAGTGTTGTCTATGATTTATAGATTGTATATAAAATGTGCAGAAAACATAAAACAGGGAAGGGTAACTATATTTAAAATTATTATGAAAGACACTACTAATGTAGTAATGGTTACTCTTGAGGAAAAAGTAAGACTAGAGTGTAGATGTGACCATGATCTGAATGGTTGACTCTCAGGTGGAAGAAAAAACTGACTTGTTCTGCGTTGCACCAGAAGGCAGAACTAGAACTACTGGATAGAAATGCCCTTATGCTGAAATGCTTCAATATAAGGAAGAGTTTTCTAAAATTATGCCTATAAAGCAATGGGTTGTATGAAGTAGTGAGGTTTCTCCTCACCACAATTATTTAGGCAGAAGTTGACGGGATTCCTGCATTAGGTGGGAGCTAGGACTAGCTGGTTCTAATTTCGTTACTGGCCCCAATCATTCAGACTCTGACTGAGGTGCTCTAGGGCAGAGAATGTACCTTAGTCAACACTGTATTCTTAGCACCAGCTTGGCAGAAGTTCATATAAAAAAGATGGAGGATTTTTAGAAATAATATAAATGAAAATAAACATTAAGAATATCATTTATCATAGTTCCATGTCCCCTCTCTCAAGTTAGTCAATTTCAATACATATTATTACACCAAATTTTTCTTTGTTGAACATTATTAGATTTTTGTCCCTATTTCTTGATTTTGAACACAAATTTATCTTGAAGTCTAAGTTTCCTGTCTATCTAAATTTTCTGTTTATATACTCCTCAAATATTTTATATTATTTATGGAAGTACTTTGTTACACTTAACATTATAAAACTTTAATCTGTATTTATTTTTGCTTCTTATTTTATTCTTTTTTTCTTCATGTCTTTGTTCTTTTTGACAGAATTTTTAAAATTTGCAAACATTTTGACTGTTAAGCATTTCCTATTTTTAGTCTCTGCTAACCTGCTTAACTAGTACTATACAAAAATGTACCTGTATTCCATTTTTCCACAGCCTAAGTCTCCTTATTCAGTGGCCCTACTTCATCAGCACATTTATTGGTTTCCACATTACTGATACAGCATTTTAGCTTATCAAGGTAGGGGCACCATCTAGTGGTGAGAGCATGGAGCTGCCGGTTCTACGTTATTTACAGTTGTTTTTTCCTCTAACTTTTGGTCTCCCACTTTGAGGTAAATAAAAAAGAAATTAATCACAATTATAAAAATATAAAACAAAATTTAAAAATTAATAATAGTAAGAATAATTGTTTATTACCAGTGAGGGGAACGAAATTCGACAAATTTTCACCAAGGGATCTCCAGTCACTTGACAGACAATTAGAATCATAAGTCAGTTTCCTTTCTATTTCTTTATCTCTATTGAATTGGAAACCTCTAATCCACAATTATAGGTCACCAGGAATAGTGTTTGGTGGCTCTGTCAGACAGTTTTTAACAAGCGGCTAGAATGCAGACACGGAAATTACAAAGAGATTTTGCTCACTGTAGGTGCCCTGACTGCAGATGAGCACAGTGCTGGAGGCCTGGCTCTTCTACTCGGCAGGACGTAGTGAGTGGATTCCTGATCCACGCTTGTCAATCTGGCTCTGAAAAGTATTTCTTCATGGTCTTCAGCAGAATTTGGACTTTAAAAGAATCTATCTAATAAAAATGATTTCTTTCTTTGTCAAGAGGAAAAGATCTCAAGGGGAAAGAGTTAAGTAGCTGGTGATGAGCAGTTTCTACCACAGTTGAGTCTTAGGAAATCGTACCTTGTCCTCAACAATTAAAATCCTGGCGTTTTTTGGCCCGAAGTGATGGATTCGGGCCAATCAAGACACTGAATACATCACCAAGTAGACACCATCTGAGCAAGCCACAGAAATATCTTTGCTGCCAGCACCAGTGTCACAAAGAAATATTTTCAATCTCATCACTTATTATTTTTTTTTTTTTGAGGAAGATCAGCCCTGAGCTAACATCCATGCTAATCCTCCTCTTTTTGCTGAGGAAGACCAGCTCTGAGCTAACATTATTGCCAATCCTCCTCCTTTTCTTTCCCCAAAGCCCCAGTAGATAGTTGCACGTCATAGTTGCACATCCTTCTAGTTGCTGTATGTGGGACACAGCCTCAGCATGGCCGGAGAAGCGGTGCATTGGTGCGCGCCCGGGATCCGAACCCGGGCTGCCAGTAGCAGAGCGCACGCACTTAACTGCTAAGCCACGGGGCCGGCCCTCATCACTTATTTTAAAAACTCATATGAGCACCTCTTTCCTCAAAAGTCAGCATATGCCAGTTAGGATAAGCAGAGTCTTTCACTGGCAATTTCTTTGCATGGCATGCAAAACTGCAAACTCAAGGGCTACACTTTGCTGGTATTTCCAGTTTTTCATTTTCATTCAATATCAAGAGGCTTATTTCTCAACTGCCAACTCTTCTCTGGAAATAAAGGAGAATATGGAGTTACTTTAGGTGTAATCTCTTATGTGGGTAGTGATGTCCTTTTCTGCTATATGTATAGCTGGCACTCTGTCTTTCCACTCTAAAAACAGCTGACAAAATAATTAACTAAACAAACAAAAAGTCTTTTCCTGTAGCATAGGTTTTCCTATGATGAATAGAAAATAAAAGTTGCCAAACTTTTTTCTTCATCATATATGTGCTACACATAAGCTAATATTTGAGTCATACTCTGTCAGCAGTTTCTTCCAACTGTAAAGTGAAATAACTGAATAACTCTAGCATGCAAACAAAATATATTAATTGTTCTACACTGTATGCCACTGAGATTACAGAACATTCCATAGGGTCATATGATAAATTAATTTTGCTTTTTCTGAGATATTTGTCATTAATTCTGAGACTGATCTTCGTAAGTTTCTTGGAAATAGTGTGATCTTATCTGTGTTTGTCATGAGCAGGGTAGAGAATGATGCCTCTCTAATTTGCTCACTTTTATGACTTCACCAACAAAATTAATTAACTTCATACTAGAAAGCTTATTTTGTATTTGTTCTAGAAAAACTCACTGTACTCTTAAATAATGCAAAAGTTTCAATGACTTAATGCCATTATTTGACCAAATTTCATAATAGAAAAAGCACTGAGGAGAATGGACAACCAGTCCAATAAAATTCTGTTTCCAGAGATTCATTGTGATCCTTTTTATTTGCACTTTTCCTTTTTGGATGGTAGTATTAGATTATCACAACAGTAGATACACTTAGTACATACAGATTCACATTCTGTATTCTCAATTGGATCTTGTTTACTATTTATATTATGATGCTGTTTTGAGTTGCCCTATTATCATTATTTTATCACAAGTATTTTATACACTTTAATGAGTAATTCTGAAGAATGGATTCATTTTCGTCAATTGGGGATAAAGCAGCATAATATTTATAAAGTGTAAATTTTAAACATGTAACAATAATATGCAAATACCATGGAACTATGTCAGCAGAGATAATTAATTAACTGACCAATGTAGTTCTTTTTGTTCAATGATTAACATAATAGAATTTTTTGGGAAATGTGAATTATATGTGAACAAAATTGTTTCATGGCTTTTCACTCTGAAATCATAAAACTTCCTGGGACCACTTACTAGATTACCACAGACCATCACAGGTCCACGGATCATACTTCAATAAATACCAAACTAGAAAGTGTAGACAAAATTTATGTCTATTACAATTCTGTTCTTTAACATCTTTTCTAAGAATAAATTCCAATAAAAAGTTCCTCTGTAGAGAGCATTTTCTAAATTGGTAGGAGGTTGAACTAGATAATCTTTAAGATCTTTTTCAACTCTTAAGATTCTAAATTATACTATTAATATGCCCTGAGTTTACAGAAGAGTCAATAATCAGAACCCAATTCCCTTTGGGACTGAAGCTAGAGTTAATGTGTAGAATTCTTCCTTTTTTCTTTTTTTTATTGAGGTCACATTGGTTTATAAGATTATACAAATTTCAGGTGTACATCATTATATTTTGACTTCTGTATAGACTGCATTGTGTTCACCACCAAAAGCCTAGTTGCCGTCCATCACTGTACACATGTGCCCCTTTACCCCTTTTGCCCACCCCCTGCCCCCTTCCCCTCTGGTAACCACCAATCTGTTCTCTGTATCTATGTGTTTGTTTGTTTATCTTCCATATATAAGTGAAGTCATACTGTAATTATCTTTGTCTGACTTATTTTGCTTAGCATAATACCCTCAAGGCCCATCAATGTTGTCGCAAAGGGCACAATTTTGTCTTTTTTAATGGCTGAGTAGTGTTCCGTTGTGTGTGTGTGTGTGTGTGTGTATACACACACACACCACATCTTCTTTACCCATTCATCTATTGATGGGCACTTAGGTTGGCTGTGTAGAATTCTTAAGCATGAATAATTTCACTTATTTACTCAATAAATATTTACTATGTATCTACTATGTGCTAGGCACTATTCTAGGAATTGGAGATACAGCAGTGAAAAATACAGTCAAAGTCCCTGCTGTCATGGAGTTTATATTATAGGGAAGGAGATGGACAATAAAAAAATTTAAATATCAGATGATATATAAGCGAAGAAGAAAAATAAAGCAGAACAAAGAAATAGAGTGTAGGGGGAGGGACAGAGGGAGAAGAAGGGTGAAGAAGGCAGAGGGTGACCATGGAAGACCTCACTAATAAGGAATATCTGAGCAGATATCTGGATGAAGTCAGGGAGTGAGTCACATGGAAATCTGTGGGAAGAGCGTTCCAGGCAGAGGAAAGAGTAAGAACAACGCACCTGGGACAGAACTGGTTTTGGTCTGTTCCAGTAACAGTGAGGAGGCCACTGTGGCTTCCTCACTGAATGAGAATGAGCAAGGGGCAGGGTGGGAGCAGATAAGATCAGAGAGTAGTGGTTGTGAGGGTGTAGGGGAATTATAGAGAGTCTTTGCAAGGACTTGGGCTTGTATTCTGAGTGAGACAGGAAAGCACTGGAGGGTTTGAGCAGAGGAGGGACATGATCTGACTTACATTTTCAAAGCATAACTCTTCCTTGTGGAGACTAGACTGTAGGGCAATGAGGGTGCAAGCAGGGAGACCAATTAGAAGTAATCCAAATGAGAAACGAGAGTGACTGGGCCAGGATGATTGTGGTGGAGGTAATTTAGTATAGTGTTGTGGTTAACAGGCAAAAATAACTTCTGAGATAATCTTAGATGACAGTGACACCTTCTGGCTCAAATAAAGTCTTACAAAGTTTTATGACAGAGGAGAACCAAAGTAAAAGCAAAGAATGAAGTTCCTACAGGAGAAAAAGAATGGTAGTAGTATACTTGTAACTCAACAGAACCTAACAAATCTACGGCTCTAAGAATGAGAGTGTCTTCCTTAGAGGAGACTGCCCTATTTACTGGGGGATCTGAGCCAGAGGCAAGGGCCATCTCACTTGAGTGTGGCTGTGAGTGTAGGTGTGCCCTGGGGCTCACCTTCGGAATTCCTCCAAGGATAATCTGGAGCTAGGGCAGAGAATGCCTGACGTGGCTGCAGTGTGCACTGCAAGCCTGTGTGTTTCTCACTGCTAATTCATGCCCTGCCTGTGACTGATCAAATGCAGCTTTGCATGAGAAACAGGGAATGAGAGCACCTCACAAAACAGGCGAGTATAATTATGTTATTTTAAATTCTTACATGATTTGTTTTCTGATTACATGCAAGCTATTTCTCATTATCATTTCCAGTTCTAACTTTGAGGTTACTACAGACACATTTCTGGGAAAGGCTGTTGAAAATTCTTTTCAGTATTATTTGCAAATGCTGAAGATCAACTGGGTATCAATATTAATGACATAGCAAAAGGTATACCTCATAAGACCAGACAGAATAAGTATATTACTTTAATTCTGTATACAAGAAACCTCTTAAGCATTGGGTAAATATAAGAAGGGAAACAGATTTAAATAATTAATTCAAATTTACTGCACCTTCCTTCCACTTACAGTAGTCATTATAGCCCATGTTACCTTTTGCATAAATATAGTAAAGCCTAGATACTAGAGACTGATAAAAAGGAGACTTATGGAGTTACATTAAGAGAAAAGAAAACTCAGCCTACGGTGGTGATGTAGCGGGAGTGGAATTCTGGAGCATCTTTCAGGAACGTGAGGCCAGGGTGTGTATCCACCACATCCTGAAAAAGAACACCAAAACTAAATTAACAAACATACAAAAAACCCAAAAAACAAAACACCAAAATGCTTACAGAACTTTTTCCTTGTAGACTAAGTTGCCAGTCGAACAAACTTGCTATTTCAGAATATTGAACAATGCATTTAAAATTTAATTAACACTTTATTAAATTCAAATTTTATCAAAAGCAAACTTATGTGTGCTTTTCAATAGGCATGGTACACCTCAATAAAAAGTTAAAATTTTAATTTAGCTATATTTGGTGATTTGTGAATCAAATGTCTCAATACTGTAATTCTAACACATCAAGCCATGTCAGGGAAATTCACTCCACAGATCTTGGTAGGAGTTGCTAAGTGAAATTTACACAGAAAATATAATAGACATAAGCCAACCAGAATGATTCTTTCTTAACCTAGAGACACGGAAATTTTTGGAAAAAAAAAAAAAGAGCCATGTAGCCAAGTAGTTTGAAATCTATGTTAAGTTGTGTGAGCCAGCTAACGTCCATCAAAATAATTCCGTGGACAAATCTGTTTTCAATTTAAGATTTTGTTTTATTTATTTTAATATCTGATATCTTGTTGTCATGGAAGACTATTAGAATATTAAAACCTTGAAATACTGTTTTCATTTTCTAATTAGATTTTTAAAGCACTTTGAATGATCCTAGAGAACTATTAGAGATAATTACTGTTAATAACAGAGGCAACAGCAATGTATATATCTATATTAATAGATATAATCTATTAATTAGCTAGTCATCAATGGACAGACATCAGTTATATCTCTCTTTTTTGTTTCCTCAGAGAAGTTAGCTATACATACCTACCAACACAGTCTAAAATCAATGGACCTTACTATTTGTTTACCTTTTTATTTGAAAATAATTTTAGACTTACAAAAAAGTTGCAAAAATATTACAGATAGATTTCCTACACCCTTCTCCCAGCGTCCCATAAGGGTAACAACTTACAAACCATAGTACAATTCTCAAAACGAGGAAATAAACATTCATACAATACTACACTACACACCTTATTCAAATTTTACCAGCTTTTCCCCTACTGTCTTTTTCTGTTCCCAGATCCTGCACTGCAGTTAGTTCTTGTGTTTCACTGGTCTCTCCCAATCTGTAATAGTTCCTCAGTCTTTCCTTGTATTTCATGATTTTGATACTTTTAATGAGTTCTGGTCTGTTATTCTGTAGTATGTTTCTCAACGTGGTTTTGTCTGATGTTTTCTCATGATTAAAGTTAGACACTTTCAGCAGGTATACCACAGAAATGATGCTGTGTGCTTTCCAGTCATACAAGGAGTATGTGGTGTCACTACATACGTCTTATATCTTGTGGTGTTAACTTTGAACATACTTGGTTGAAGTGGTGTCTTGCTGGGCTTGCCACCATAAAGTTATTATTGTCTCTTAATAATTGATAAATATTGTGGGGGAGATACGTTGAGACTCTGCCAATATCCTGTTTCTCTGCAAACTTTTGCCTACTGATTTTAGCAGCTATTGGTGGAACCTGACTGTGCATTTATATTGTGGTGTTTACCTAATAGTGATTTTGTATTTTCTTTATTCCTTCTACATTTATTAACTGGAATTCTTCTGTAAGGAAGAGCTGTCCCTTCTCTCCCATTTATTTATTTATTCAATTTATATCACTATAGACTCATGGATCTTTATTTTATTCTATGGGTTATAATCTAATACTATCATTATTTATTTTGTTGCTCAAACTGATCTATCTAGCTTTGGCCAGTGGGAACTCTATCAGGCCATTGGGACTCCACTGGGAAACCTGTGTCCTCTTGACATGCCCCATCCTTTTGTGAGCACTTCCGTATTTTCTGGTATCACAAGATGGTCCAGGCTCATTTTATATTTTCCTTGCTTCAGCCCTAGAATCAACCTTTTCTCCAAGTAGCTCTGGTTCCTTGGAGAATGGTGTTTAGAAACCAAATCTGGTAACAACAATAAACAAACACATAGGGACAGAGATTGGATTGGTGGTTACCAGAGGGGAAGGGGGGAGGGAGGAGGGTGAAAGGGATAATTCGGTACATGTGTGTGGTGATGGGTTGTAATTAGTATTTTGGTGGTGAACATGATGTAGTCCATGCAGAAATAGAAGTACAATGATGTACACCTGAAAAAAATAAATAAATAAAAAGAAACCAAATCTGGGTGCTAGGTGTGCTCATTACTACTAGAGAGTCACTGCTATGAGCCCTCTTAGCAGGCAGAACTAGGAATATATGTATGTATAGTAATCCATGCATACACACATACTTTTTTCTTTCTATATCTATCTATATATATTAAAAACTATGTAACCATACAGATAATTCTGATTCCAATCCAACACCACAATTCTAGCGTTCCCCTTTCCTTTGTAACTTTAACAGAATCGCCAATCCATATTCCATTGAGAAACAAATTTACTAACTACAGTACAGTATTTGTGTCCAGTTCCTTTTGTCTTTAGTCAGAGTATCCAGCTAAAATAGTTTTCCAAGGTTACTTAGATTATCTCTTTCCTTTTTCTTCCTTTATCGTCTTTAACGTGGTTATGTTATTCATTTGTAATACAGTTGAGTTCATTTGTTACTATTTATATTCTATTTGGGTTTCTTTCCCACAGGTCCTCGATGATTTTAATTCATTATTTCTTGGAGGGAGAGTATGTGAAACATTACTATGGTTCTAAGAGTCAAAGATAATGTAGAATTGACATCTTAACAATATCGAGTCTTCCTATCCATAAAGAAGACATTTCTCTTCATTTATATAAATCTTCTTTAATTTCTCTCCACAATGTTTTCCTGTTTTCAGTGTACAGGTTTTGCACATCTTTTGTCAGATTCATCTTTAAGTATTTAATATTTTTGGGTAGTATTATAAATGGTATTTAAAAAATTTAAATTTCCAATTGTTTGTTGCTAGTATATAGAAAGAAAATTGACTTCTGAATATTGATCATGCATCTAAAAGCTTGCTAAATTCACTTATTAAATACAGCTTTAACAGTATCCCATAAATTTTGATATGTTGTGTTTGCATTTTCATTCAGTTCAAATACTTCCTAATTTTCCTTCTGATTTGTTATCTGATCCATGGGTTACTTAGAAGTGTTATTTACTTATCAAGTATTTGGGAATTTTTCACAGATCTGTTATTATTTCTAATTTAATTCCATTATGGTCAGAGAACATACTTTATGAGCTGAATATTTAAAATTTATTGAGATTTGTTCTATGGTCGAGAATATGGTCTATCTTGGTAACTATTCTGCATACATGTTAAAGGAATGTGTATTCTGCTGTTTTTGGGTGAAATGTAATATAAAAAACAACCACCACCACCACCAAACAAATATATAGACACAGAGATTAGATTGGTGGTTACCAGAGGGGAAGCGGGGAGGGAAGAGGGTGAAAGGGGTGATAGGGCACGTGTGTATGGTGATGGATGGAAAATGGTCTTTGGTTTCCTTTGCCACCTCCTTTTGGGTTAACTGAGTGTTCTTTGTGATTCTTCCATTTTATTTCCATTTTGGCTCATCAGCTACAACTCTTTGTTATTTTAGTGGTTGTGTCAGCGGTTACAGCACACATCTCTAACTTACCACAATCTACTTTCAAGTGATGTTATACCACTTCATGGATTATATGCGAACCATACGATAGTGTACTTCCATTTCTCTTCTCCCAGCCTTTATGTTATTGTTGTCAAATTGTACTTAAACATATGTTATAAACACAATACACTGTTGATAGTTTTTTTTAAAAAAGAGTTAATTGTCTTCTAAAGAGATATGAAAAATAAAAAGTCACATATATTTATCCATGTTATTATCATTTCTGGAGCCCTCCACTCCTTTGTGTAGATTTATATGGCCATCTGGTATTGTTTTCTTCCTTACCTAAACAACTTTTTTTTTTTTTTAAAACAACATTTCTTATAGTGCATTTCTGCTGGTGATGAATTCTTTTAGCATTTCTATGTCCAAAAAACCCCTTTAACTTACCTTTATTTTTGAAAGATATTTTCACTGAGTATAGTATTCTAGGTGGATAGTTCTTTTCTTTCTGTGCTTGAAAGATGTTGCTCCACTGTCTTCTGGCTTGGATTGTTTCCAACATGAAATTGGCTGACATGTTTATCTTTATTCCACTCTATGAAATGTGACTATTTTCTCTGGCTGCTTTTCAAACATTCCCTCCATTACTGGTTTTGAGCCATTTTATTGTGATGCGCCTTGGTATAATTTTGTGTTTCTTGTGCTTTGGGCTTATTGAGCATCTTGAGTTTTGAGTTTATAGTTTTATCAAATATAGAAAATTTTGGGCCATTATCTCTTCAAATAATTTTTCTGGCCCTCTGCAATGCAATTCCACAGGCCATCCATGCTTTTGACTAACTGACTGTAAATTTGGGGGTTTTCACTACCCCCTCAGGTTCGACAATTTGTCTGAATGACCCATAGAACTGAGGAAAGTGCTGTATGTTATGATTACTATTCTATCATAAAGGATACAAATCAGGAAGAGCTAAATAAGAGACACATAAGGCAAAGTCTGGGAAGGTCCCAAATGTGGAGCTTCTGCATCCTCAGGACATGTTACCTTCCCAGCACAGCACTGTGTATCATTAACCAGGGAAGCTCAATTGAGCTTCCGTGTCTAGAGCTTTTTTATTGGGTTTCATTATGTAGGCATGATTGATTGAATCATTGGCCACATGGCTGAATTCAATCTCCAGGCTCCCTCCTCTCTTTGGAGGTCAGGCTGATATCATCTGGCTAAAAGCCCCAACCTCTAATCACATGGTTGGCCTCTCTGGCATGGCAAACCCCTATCTTGAAACTATCTAGGGGCCCACCATGAGTTACTTCATTAGTATAAACTCAGGCATGGTCCTAGGAGCCCAACATGAAAAACAAAGACACTCCTATCATTTGGGAAATTCCAAGGGTTTAGAAGCTCTGTTCT